GGTGATTGATCATGTGGCCTGGCTCTCTGCCACCTGTAAAAAAAAAAAAAACCCACGTATGTAAAGGCCCATTTCCTCCTCTGGGGATGTCCAACAAGGCGCCGTCCTGCTCGCGAACAAAGAAGACAAATGCGTCAATCCCACTAAATGCTCTGAAAGATGATGCTCACACTTCTTTTCAAATCCCAAACTCTTCTCAAAATAACTCAAGCTCTCGAACAAAAAGGAGAAATCGTTCAGATCATAAATCATGACATCATGAAGTCCTCAAGCCAGCGAAAGGATATCTTGTTTCTTGCAGGTCTTCAATCCTCGTTGTCACCAGGTACCCCGTCGAGCGGGAGTGGAACTCCGACTGGGCATGGGCGATAGTCGCTTTCTTTTTGCTGGAGGCCTTCCGTCATTGCCATTGTCATCGTCTTCATCTTCATCTTTCACTTCTTCTATTACTTGTGCTTTGGTATCCTGCTCTAACGACTCGAGCATTCTGCTCCAGAAGAAGACATCCTCGGTGTCTTGCATCATGTTTGCCATACTTTGTTGTCGCTGACATATCTCGATCAGAACCGACTTTGACAACTCGTTGTTGTTCTGCACATATTTTAGTGCCGTATTGAAACTCCGACGTGCGTCAGCATAGCGGCCTTTGGCGTGTTGTTGTCGCCCAAGTCTGCGATAAGCAAGTCCCACCCGCCAAAGATCTATGCTTCCTGGGATTTCTTTCAAGGTTGTCAGTCTGCGCTGCACTTGCGAACAAATCTCTTCGGCTTCATCGAATTGGTCTTGGGCCACAAGTCTGTAGGCTTGAAGGAGCAGGAAGTATACTGATAATCCCGGAGACACGGCGTCCACTTCGGAAATTTGCGGTAACCACTCTGTCAAATCCGCCTCGGGATCATACCACAGGAGGTCCAGGGCTCGATTAAGTCGGACTTCATACAACAGCTTGTTGCGCTTGTCAATCCGCGTCTCAAGACCATCGTACATGGAGCGGGCCGCACGGGTGTATAGCTCTCGCAGCTGGTCGACCTCAAGTTCGCCGAAAACGCTGAAGAGTGCGTAACGCGAATCCTTCGGATCTAGGAAAGTATGAGCCCATCGCTGGACACTCCGTAAAAGTAGCGCAGCAAGCTTAGGGTGGCCACTCTGAGCCACCCTGCCCACTTCGAAAAGTAAAGCCATTGGTATTTCATAATACCAGGACTTGAACAGCTCGGGATTCTGGAAACCTGCAAAGGCCTTATTCCACTGTACCCACGCAAGATCCCGCTTTCCGTTTTCGAAAAGATTAAGCCCTGCGGTTAGACTCGAAGAGAGGAGACGAGATGCCTGGCGGCCACGATTATGTTGGGTTGACGACATTGCATCCCAATCACCGTGAACGAATGCGTCATGGGTCCATCCACGAAGATTGAAGAGAAACTGCTCAGCGACACTAGCAATGCGAAATCCTTCGGGTGATGGAACGACAACGGTCTGGCGCGGTTCTGCCGGGTTTGACCAAGGTATCACCGCCTCGGAAACCGGAGAAGGCGGGGGTGTCGAAGGCGTAGGCGACAGCTCTGAAGGCTGCGGCGAAGCCTGTGGCTGAGATGATTTGCGACTTCGTTTCCTTTTCAAAGCACGCTCGGCTTTTCTCTTCAGAGCATCTAGATCCACGTTTCTGCTGGCTATCGGAGCCTCGCCTTCAATAATCTGCTTAGCCTCGTTCTCCTTGAGGTACTTTCGCAAACCCCAAGCCTTTATTTTGTTCTTGTACATCTTCTCACTGGGAGATGGGTTTAGCACTAAGAATAATATTGTCAGTAGCTGGAGCTCACCTTGCCCATAATCCATGCTCATCCTTCATGATTTTCATCACCTCAGGTAAAGGACGATTGTCTTTCATGTATAGACGAGTGAAGACCGGCCGCCATTTGTCCCAGTCTGCTCCAGACGGAGGGCGGCATTGATCTCTGCTGGGAGATGCCATCGATTCAAAGATTGCTAGTCGTGCACGATTGCGGAGTCATAGAGTTGACGGGGAGGCAAAAAAGGTCGAAGGGCGGAGGATCACTAAATCAAAAAGACGGGATCATAGGAGGCTCGGCGGGCTTAGCTTCATACAAAGGTATATCCCATAGAGGAAGACGATGAGTACCAAAGGTCCCTTGACAGCGCTGAACTCAATGGGTAAGTCACACGAGGCACGGTGTCTAGGTGGTATAGAAGGGGAGGGGTTGGGCGATGAAGAAGTGAAGTTCGAGATGCGGCTGACCAAAGTTCCCTTCCATGTCTGCCAAGACATACTTACCAAGATCGAACTAGCCGCTCGCCGCTGGGATGGTCCGCGTGCACATGACACATCGCAGCACAAAGCGGCGGGAAGTGGCAGTGTCTGACAAGGCATCATTTCTCGTTTTCCATCATAGATTCACTGGAGGCGTGCAGTCATCGAGGTGGCTTTTCGCTTATATCCGTCGAGTTCACGCCTCTTGCCTCTAATTTCGTGACTGCGGCTCTACCAGGTCTCCCGACCAACATGTCAAACTATAAGGAAAAGGGCCCATCTCGTCGGTCGGGCACCTCAAGACCTCGTATGGTGCTCAATGGGCACCGAATAGGCAGTGCCTAGGCAAGCCGCATTCAAAAATAAGTGGCGTAGCCTGACCTAGAGCATGTAACTTAGGAGCGGTTGACAACAACGAAGTGCAAGTTGTAGCTAACAGTTTGGGATATATGACACAGCGCTACTATTCCCAACGGCAAACAGAATACTTTATACTCATAAATAAAGGTCACGTTCGATCAACAGTAAATCACTTTCCTCTTGTCAGACCATGGCACTTGTTTTTGAAATGGGCTCGCAGGGTATTTTGAACAACTCAACGGGTCAGACAGGCAGCCACTCAAGCACTTGACCAAAAGCCCTGCAAGGAACTTCGGCGCGTCGAAGGCACCCAGCCAGTCACCATCCAGCGCTTCCAGAGCCTGGCCCTCCCCCTTTGGCACTATGCGCAAGTCATGGCCCTCACGGCCCCCTTGCCCCGTTCCAACGCGTGGAGTAGTCATCCCTCCCGTTTGGTGGCTTAGCACGGCAGATTTCCATCAACCTTTGAACGTCGCGTTTTGGAACTCTCTCTTTCTCTCCCGTTGCATACTAAAGCCCTTCGCATTACAGTGTGGAAGCCACCCGCACCCGAATCCTCTTCTAACCCACCGGTTTTGGATCACCTCCCTGATAGATTGGTCCGATGCACGGCCATGGTGCAAGTTGCCGACGTGGTCGACGATACCCTCATATCCAACCTCGCGGCTCGTCTCCAGCAACTGGCGGACGAGGTAGAGCGAGCCTTCACCACCGGATCTCGAAATGTTCGCACAGTCCTCCGTCGCCAGCATATCAACACCGTTCATCCAACTTCTGCTCGACCGCTATGCAGACTTCTTGGCGAAGATCAACTGATGAAAGCCCTCCGTCTACTGTCATTGCAATTAGCTCTGTTCACCCTCGCCCGGGTTTATGACGAATGCCACGTCGCTCTATGTCGAGCGATGGCGGCAGCCCGGAAAGGCGATATTCTCTATGAGGGCTTCAATCGCAATCCGTGCGTTGATCTTCGACTGCTAGCCGATCAAATTGGTCTGCATAAGGAGATTGTTGAAGACCAAATAATGCTCGAAACAACTTATGACGACATGGCGCCATTGCGGGCCATATGGAAGCCTGTCCTGCCTATGTCCTTTGACAATCTGTCCCAACTTCATTCTCTTTCTGATCTTTTGCCTGGTGAGCAGCGACCCAGCCATGAGTACGCAGGGATTGGCGGAGGTGGAGGGTCCGATGTCATCAGCGCGAGTTTGCTGGGACACTTGTTGCGACGACATAAGAAGCGAATGGACCTCTTGATCTCTACACGAACCTGGGCAACAGGATCCCAGGGGAAAAAGGGGTCCAAGCTTGGGATCAAGCGTGAGGTATACAACCATGGTGGAGCAGTGGAAGCGCACGGGCGCCCTGTTGCTGGAACCTTTCGGGTGAAAAATGACACTACCGCTGAGGGCCGCGACCTTGAAGCAATTCCACTCCCGTATCATTCCCAGATATTTATGGTACTCGACCAGGGCGAGTCGAAATCGCAGATCTCGGAGGACGACAAAGCTGATCTTACAGATCAATTCCATGCCGTGTTGGATCAGGCTAAGCCCTCAATAGAGACTGTTCTCATAGTAGACACAGGCGGGGATGTCTTTGGTGCCGATTCCAATGGAGCTGCGACGCCGGACCAAGACTATCGGGTTCAGAAAGCGATCACCCCCCTTTCATGCCACTACAATCTCGTGACTGTCGTGGTGGCTCCCGGTGTCGATGCTCCAAATGATGCACCACAAAAGGCCTCGAAGGCAGGCGGCATGGTCTATAAGCCCACGAAAGAGGAGAAAGCGATGCTTCTTGATTTGCTCGCGAGTAAATATAGAATGGACGGTTCAGACCCCAACAGATTCGGCAAGACAACACTAGCTTTGCAGGCCCGATTACGGGGAGTGGTTGGGTGGACTTCGTTGGATCTTCCGCCTTATGTCATTGACACGTGGGAGAACCCCTGGAACAGCTTTGTGTACATCCGGGAGTGCATGAGCGATATCATCTTCATGCCAACACCAAAGCTACTACCGCTAATTGAGCCGGCGAGGGGTAAAGGAAGCCTATGACAGCGACAGCGACTGAGAAGGCTGTGAGCCGTATACCATGCAGGTAGTGGCTTTGCTGCCCGTGATGGACCCGAATACTGGGGATCGAAGGGGTCGTAGGACCTGATAGAGCGACGGAACTTCCTCTGGACTCCTGCTACGCAAGGCTGCGGGATCCTCAAATTCTTGGCAAGGCTACCACTTGCAAACCTTGCACCCTGTTTTTCTTCCTTCGCACTCTGTACATTAAGTTTAATACATTTCTACACCTGTGTCTTCCTTGAAGGCCAATATAATTACCCGATATCAAGGTCATCAGTGTCAAAATTATGGCGAATACAACTCTTGCGCCCTTATCAGACGAGGAATTAACCAAGCTGGGCAACTTGGCAATTGAGGCAAAGGCAAAGGCATACTGTAAGTGAACCGCAAACCCGAAGTGGATGAAGACAGAAGCGCATTTCGTAAGCTCCCACTAGGAGGAAATGTATTCGCCCAAAAGGGGAAAAATGAAGTCCTGCTTTGGACAAAGTGAAAGAAATCTATCTTGCGGCCGCTATCCCTCCAACTACCAAACCCCCAGGAACATTGTCCTGGTTCATCAATATCATCCATTGACTCCGTCATCGATATCTCCTAGGCCCGTACTCCAACTTCCGCGTCGGGGCCTCCGTCCTCCTCTCAGATGGGACATACCATACGGGCGCCAACGTCGAAGTCGCCTCGACCCCCGTAGGCATCTGCGCGGAGCGGTGCGCCATCGCACCGATCGTGGCCTCGATGCCTCGTCCCAAAATGCCCGCCATCCGCGCCATCGGGGTGGCGACGGACATTTTCCCGCCAGCGTCCCCCTGCGGGATGTGTCGACAGTTTATAAACGAGTTTGCTACGTCGAGGGACTTGCCGATCTACATGTACGGCAAGGACGGGCTGGAGGGAGAGGTGGTCCGGATGACGATTGGCGAGCTATTGCCTATGAGTTTCGGACCGAATGATATAGAGAGAAATCCTGGGAAGTGAGAGAAAGTAGGTTTAGGGAAGATATTAAAAGGATAGTAAGAAGCGATGACGAAGAGAAGGTCTATATACTCGGAACTTAGTATAAATCTTGATACTTTTATATGTTTACTCAACTCTAAATACTTCCCCCTCCAGTCAGTCGGGGGAAGCAAAAAGATTCAATTTCTCAGGCCAAGCGTCTGATCTTACCTTCCCCCCTGATAATCGGTTCCGCTGTAGGTGCTGCGGCTCCTGTCCTCCCTCCGGTTGGGAGCGTTCTCGAGCAATCTTCCAGCAGCCACAGGAAACCGATTGTTTTCAGATGATAGCCATGTACAATATTGCAGGTTTTCAGCTCTTAGTATCGTTATTAATATTCTAGGAGACCCACAATATCATATGTTTTTGGAATTGATGGATGACATGGCTGAGACCATCTGCTACCCTTTTGGCAAACGCAGCGAACGCTCATATCATCCATCAACAGGGGGGAAGGCCCCGCCCGCCAAACCCGATCAAAATTGAATCTTTTTTTCGGTACATATCCCAGACTCGAAGTGGTTGCTTGTGTGAAGGTCTCTTTATATTCATTGTTTGCACTTCTTCTCAAATGGGGTCATATGTTGACCAGATCTGCGGGCCCACAAACTATAACACTGTTAATCCAGGTTAGCGGAGAACTGGGTATAGCTTTGCGAGGGTATGGTACTGACCGCAAAGGAGGATGTAGATAAGGGGTGAGGCAGTACGTGGATCATCGAGCACGGGGAAGAGTAGGAGCAGAGGCTTTGGCACGTGGAAGGAATATTCACTGTTCCTCTCTTCTTGTCTCGTCCGGTTCATCATTATGCCAGCGGCTCAGAAGACATCTTCCGGGTCGACCTTGAAATTCTCCCCATTCTTCCTGACATGGATTCGGTCCTTGTCCCGGTCAAGAGGCTTCCTCATGTCCAGCGCGTCCTCTCCCTCCTTTGAGACTCCAGTCGGATCATCCGCATAGTACTTAACCACTATGCGGTAGGTCGAGTAGCCCATGCTTTGATACATTTTGATGGCGTTCTTGTTGCTCGCCCGAACAAAGAGATCCACGAACCAGGCATCCTGCTGGTTGCAAGCCTTTTCCAACGACTCGGTCAGAAGTTTCCCATATCCCAGCCGTCGATATTGTGGGGCTATTGACAGAGCGGTGATGTGACCATGCCACGGTAAGTAATGTGGTGTTCCTCTGCAAGAAATGTCTCTTAGGACGGATTGTCTGGGTTCAGAGAAGAGCTGGCCACTTACTGTAAGTGAGCAGGCGATGTCTCAACCTTGCCAATGATATAGCCGACTATCCGGCCGTGCTCTTCGATGCATTGAAACAGCGAAGGCCATCTCATCAGATATGTCAGATAAAAGTTCAGGTCATAGTTTTCCGTGTACGGATCGAGGTTGCACAGGTTGAGATGGAACAAGTCCGATGGCTGGACTCTCCGAATGGTCGGCATGGCAATTCATTTCCATGGGACAAGGAGCATTGAATTGAGTCCGGAGCTGAGGTTCACAAGGGAAGAGTCAATTTATTCAATTTATCGAGGGCTTTGCTGCTGATTGTGGGGAGCGAGGAGGAACCTGTGACTCCAACGAAACGCGCCGTCCCGCGAGTCACTTTGGTCATTGTCCCCAAAAAGCCCACTGCTGCCCACCGGTTTGCGCTGGTCAGACTGGTTCGCGAGCCGAAATAATCACGGGCGACTTTCACTTGCTGCTCAGGACTTCTGCTGTTTGGACAGCTGCGCTTTTTACGGACAGACAGGGCCTCCAGAGACATGCTTCCACCTTCATGATAGAGCTTTCTTTGCTTAGACGAGCATAACCCACCATCAGTCACCTATACTCGGTATTCTGTCCTCCCTCCCCCCTGCATACGAGTCCGCAACATGACCGCCCCATCTCCACCAACCTCCCCGACAACGCCCTCGCGAAAGCGCAGGTCACTGCTCCTGTCCAACGTCGAAATACAATCCCAAGATGCGACGTCCCCGAGTCCGTACACCAGCGGGACCACAAATGGCACGACGTACTCGAGGAGATCATCGCGAACGTCGCAGACCTCTTACCTGCCTCGGTCCCCGTTGACACCTCGCCCCATGTCCTCCAAGTCTTCCCGACCTCCCTCATTCTCCCAACAGCGCAGACCAAGTCGGACGAGCATAAATAGCAACAGGAGTATAGAACACTACGGCGACGGCAACGGGCTGGGAAACTTGGCCGACGAGCTGGAGCAAGCTTGGGGCGAGGAAGAGGAAGGAGAGGGCCACTCCAACTTCCTCGACGGCTTAAGAGAGGGTGAGGTAGGCCAGGATTCTTCGATGATGCGCGACCCACGCAGCCCCTACGAGATAAACGATATGCACGATTTTGGGTTTGGGATGGTCCTGCAGAGTCCGCATAGCCAATATGACGGGCAACCTCCCACGCTGCGCGTTCCCCAGCCTCGACCGAATTCGCAATCCCAAGAGAGCAAAAAGCCAGGACACCAGAGACAAGAGTCCGCCTACGACGGCTCAGACTACGGGCCAGATTCAGAGGCGGACCAAGAAGAGGATGTCATCCCACCGATCCTACGAAAACGAATCCGCGACATCGAGAACCTCACACGCATGTGCGTCAATCCCGAAGACGCAGTCAGTGAAGGCGGTGGCACTGTCCGCCGAGTCATTCATGGCTTGAAGGATCTCGGTCCACAGGCAAACATCGAGTACGGAGTCACCCGGCTGATCACGGCATATACATCTATGGCCTCTCACCGGACACACAAGACCCGAGATCTGTTCACCCAGTCACACTCACTCATGTACGGGGGAACTTTATGGCAGCTACCTGAGGAGATGATCGACTTACTCCTTGATGATATTACCAGTTTATCGTCGACCCTCCCTTTCCTTCGTCCGCAGAATCCATTGTTGTCCCTCCAAATCCTGGCCTCACAGACTGAAGAACTGTCGCACACCCTCCGCTCTTTGACCGATCTGCTCCAGGAATCCCGTCTTGCGGCCAGTGCCGCGACGAGAAAGCTCAAATCGGTCCGTGACATGGTGGAGGACATGTCGCTGGACGAAGAGCTGGTGGAGAACAGTATACTCTTGATCCAGGCCGGGGATTGGGATCGCAGGTGTCGGGAGAGGCAGGCAGCACGAACATGTCAAGAGGTCTGCGAGGGGTTTGCAGACCGATGGGGCTTGCAATGCGATGTGGATTTAATATCGCTGGCCGAGGGCAGGAAGCAGCCTGCCCCGGTATTGGTGTCTGGATAATGGGAAACACATTGGGAGATTTGGATCTTTGAAGCGTGGAGTCTGGGCTGGTTTGGCACATCAATTCAACGGGATAATGGGACTACAGCGCTAAAGCCGGTTGATGAGAACCCTGGTTAGCGATACACTGGAATGGAGATTGATACCTATGCTTTAATGAGAGAGCGGCGGGCGTCCGAATAATGAGAGACGGTGGAGGGGACATGAAATCATACTCCATATAAAGAGTAGACAATATACCATCGATATTGGACACGATGCAGGTAATAGACAGCAGGTATGAGGTATCGGGTATCCGTATCAGGCACGAGGTGCACGCCCTGGCATGATGGAGGACACCCGTCGTCTTAAGACATGGACAGGCTGAAAAATCCCTGGTGAAGGCGGTCACCATTTTCTTCTTGTCTGTGTTGCTTCTTCTGAGCTGAACGTTTCCTCACTATTCTCCCTCGTCGGCACCGGTAACAGCAGGCAACAAACATTCGCCATTTCCTCCGTCCTCGACGTTCATCCTCTACCAAGGAGGGACGTAGGTGTTGCGAGTCTGATTGCTGCCGTTGATTCCGAGATTCACACGCCGACTCGACACCCAATGCGAGGCCTCATCGGTGGCGTGATTAGTCCAGCCCAATCGACGCCCACCCAGATCGTTTCTTGCTGTGGAGCTTTGCCTCTCGCTAACGAGAATAGAAGCATGAGGGCAAGCAAATGGTGGAAGCTTGGCTGTTTGCCCCTTGGACCTGCAATTTGCTTGTCGACACCAAAGAGCTCCTGCATTCACACCTCCCACCACTCGCAAGAATACCAGTACTGTGGTACATCAGTTGGATGGGGGGCTGTTTGCGGTGATGGCTAAGAGACGATTCCTTCGCTCTTTTGTCAAGATTGAGTTGCACAGATAGCTTACAAGCACGAGGACTCTGTACTCTACAGGGTGAAAGCAGATACCAAGTAGGTACCTATGGGCACTCACTCCAGTGGAAACACCCTCGCTTAACCAAATTAACCGCGCGAAGATCAGATGTCCACAACTACGAATGGCACGCAGTCATGAGATTCAGATGGAGACATGATCATGTCTTGCGTCCACTCACCTGCCTTGTCCGTACCCAGCCAGCACAGCTGTGCCCGGCTCTGGATATCCAAACACTCACAGACTATCCCAGACTCAGCTACCATCGCCGCAACCTCATTGCCGACTGACACCCATGCTGTTTCGCAGTAGGTCACATTGTCATCTCTGGACTGTCGACAAACAGGCTACCCTGCCTGTTCCGTGTCTCACTAAAGGTGACGTGGGTGTGGGCTCAATACTTGCCCAAGCTTCGACCAGAAGTTTGTCAGCCGTATCACCGCTCGAGAAGGAACCCACTCAGCCTCGTGTTGTTCCACCTCACGGCTCCGGGGGTGTGGTGACATTGACCTCTTTGCTGTGGCCTATCTTGAGACCCGATGACGAGCAGCAGAACCGTTCGGCTATTGGAGCCCCAGTGGTGTCAGAAGCAATCTCCCATACTGTTATATGTTTTCACACCCACTTCTTTCTGTGTTTGCTTCTCTGTTGGTTTGTGATCACTGATATCTCCCTCTCGTTTGACATACATACATCACGTCGCTCGCTACAGTCACTCGCTTGATCTCTCTCCTAAAAGATCGGACCTTGTTGGGGCCACTTTACGTGTCTTTCGCGGACGTCTTGTCATCACCCCCGCTAGGAAAAGATATTCACACTCTCAAAATGAGGTCCGGTGCCGCTCTCGTCTTGCTCGCCGGCCTGGCTGCTGCCTACCCAGGCGAAGTCCTGCGCAAACGCGCTCTCAAACCACGCGAAGGCTGTCCCGCTGAACTCACGCCCGGCCAGTTTGAATTCCCCCACTACATCACGCAGATCTCCAAGTCTCAGCCCGACAAGGCTTTCGGGCCCCAATATAACGGCGTCTTCACTCCCAATGATATCTCGTCCATCTTCAGCTTTGACGTTCCTGCCTCTCGCGCCGACGCCAATTGCACGCTTGAGTTCATCTTCCCACTGAAATCGCAGCTCAAGACTTCCAACTTCGAATACGAAGGTGGTGGCTCGTTCTTCTTCACTGGATATAATCCAGGCAGCTGCCCTGGACCAGAGACGACGTACAACAACCAGCCCGCCCCGGGTCCTTTCCCTCCTTTCCCGCCCATTCACATGGAACCGGGAAACGCTTACACCATTGACGTCGGCCCTTGCTTTGTGGGCGCGGGAACCTGTGTTGCTGGAATGACCTCGACAAACGACACCAACTTCTGGTTCTTCCAGGACCAAGACGAGTGCCCGATTGGCATTTACACGGCATACTCGTACGGTCTGCCACCGATGGCCATGCCACCTGCATAAGCGGGCGCTCTGCTTCAACGCGTTGGAGGAGAAAACCAAAGTTAATCTCATCGGCGCCTGAGGAAATCAAATCAGACCACTCAGAATTCTCCTCTGCCGTGGTACAGGTACCACTTGAAACGGCTGTATGGGGAGGGACCTATTATATACCAAAGGGAACCAGGCATTTTGGGACAGAACAGAAAAGAAAAGGAATGGAAAAAAAAGGTTCGCCGGCGACTTTGTCATGACAGACCCCTCTATCTACCCTCTCCCCATGTGTGCCGTTGCGGTTGGGTGGCACACAAAGCAACAGAAGGACATCCCACACAATAGCATACATAACTAATGAAACTGCGTTTCTGACGCACACAAGCAAACAACAAAACAACCAAATTATTCCGTCAATCATATCTTCCATCATATTCTGCTCCGTCACTGTCTGTCTGTTTGTTTGCTTGTTTGCTTGTTCCTTTCACGCTTTGTCGTACATACAAAGCATTGCATACTCTGTACACCCATCTCGGCAGGATGCACTTTGTGGACGCACTATACTGTGTGATTCGTAGAGAGACTCTCGGCTTCTTCCACGCCTTTTTGGTCTGGCTTCGACTTTACGCGCGGTGACGGAGAGGGATGGAGAATGGGAATGAGAGCGGAGAATGAGAGGCCCGAGGAGAGGAGAGGAAAGGGAAAAAGGGGGTAAAGCAAAGTAAGGTAAAGCAGAGAAGAACAATCCAATCCGATGGCCCTCAAGGTCTATCCTATCCACCATCCGCCATCCGCCATCCTCCTCCATTGATTGCTTCGTGTCACTTTTAAACCCACCTCGTTCTCGTTCCCCTCAGAGCAGAGGACAGCAGAGTAGAGTAGAGTAAATCAGCTGAGGTGCAGGTCGTCCTACAACGGAGCGGTATCGTGCTTTTTGTGCAGTACCATGTCATGTCATAATACATACATACCGTGCTCTCCTCCGCCACGCCATACCGCGTTGTGTCGTGTCGGTTCATGCTGTGTTACGTTAAGTTATGTCGTGCTGTAGACGGACCGTCCAGGTAGTTCGACTACTCCTGCTCTGCTCTGATTGACGCCGAAAGCAAACGTAACGGCGCAATGACAGCGGTGGTTCCAACACCGTCTCCGACATTTATGTAGCTGACCCGCTGACGAGGCTGGTGCCAGCTGTGTGAACAAAAATCGAGATGGAGACAAAGATGAAGATAGAGATGGTCGTGGACTGGGAGCACCCCTGACGAGAACGAGGCTAGGACAAAGTGAACAACCATAGGGACATAGATGAGGTGTTGGTGGCCGGACCTAACCCCCTGCTTCTCTACCTTGGGAGACTCCCGCTCCTTACCCTCCTGACAACCGTAGCCGTGGTCCTGTTCGATCTGGCACCACCGCCTCGCGCGCTCTATCTCGGTTTGGTGCACGAGGCGCGCCGTCTCCCTGCCCTCTCTTGAGGTGATCCGGCGGCGCAACTGGAGATCATCATCGTCGGGTTCTACCTGGTCTGTCCATTCCACCCCTTACTTCCCCTCTTCATCGTCCCCAGCCCTCCCACATTCTTCGTCCCTTTCTTTTTTTTCTCTCTCTCTCCAGGCGGACTTCTGGTAATTCAGATTTGCCACCCAGGATCAGGAGGACCACTTCTTTCGTCGCCGTCATGTTGTCCATAACCTCGAGCTCCTATCGCCTCTCCCGGAGGAGGAAGAGGATCTTCTTCACGATCCTGTCGCTCTCGATGGAGCCCCATCCGACCACGAAAAAGACGCCGCTGAAGAGAGCTCGCGGCATGAGGCGAAGCAGGGCCAGCAATGGTCGCGTCATTGTCCCGATGATGGCCAGCGGTATGAGGAGGTGGCTGATTCGCTGCTCCGTGCGAGACTCGGCCCGGGTCTCCTTGCGGACGAGAACCGCACTTTCGTTGGTTTTAATTTCTCGCACGTCTTCGACGTAGTTTGTAAGCAATGCACGGGTACCTGAGGGACCAGGCCGTTGGGCAGCGGGATGTCGAGGAAGCCAGCCACCAGACTCGTCCATCCGAGGAGGAAGAAATGCCAATGAATACAGCGGGCTTTTTCAACGGGAAGGATCTTGCCTGCGCGGTGAGTGAACTGACATTGTGGTGGTAGTAAAAGAGTAAATTCATGAGGAGTCCGAAGGGCGCCGCGACAAAGATTCATTGGACGGGGATGTTCCAGAACTCGACGACCCAAGGGTGGTTTATCGTCAGACGGAATGAGCTCGTCACAGGAGGACGCTCGAAGTCCACAGCAGCGAGATTGCCAGAAGAGTGCGAGAACCCCATTCAGAAGATGGTCGCGATGGGATAGGCGTAGTCGGAGAGCAAAGCGCGGACCATGCCGTTGAAGTAGGTCGTCGAGCCAATGTACCCAAGGAAATAGATGGACAGCGTGTAGAGGATGGCAACCATGACGGATGCGAACCCGTTGAGGAACTTGCCGTCGTAGAAATTGACGCCGAGTTCTTCTACGCCCTTGATGATATAGATTGTGCCTACGTACAAGGCAAAGGTTTCTGAGGAGAAGTCGGTGACGGTCAGCGTGTAGTGACGCAGGTTGAGGATGGCCGTGAACCAGTGGAAGACTGCACTCCGAATGCCGACCTGGCATGTATTCAGTCAGTGAGCCTGAGACGGATCACAGGAAGGGAGGTATGAGAAAGGGGCAATAGTCCGTACCCAGACCATGAACTGTGGATAGATGGCTACATCGTGCATCTGGATGATGTGGAAAATTGTATAGTTGAACAGCGATATCAAAAGGGTGATGCTGACAACAGTAATGGGCTGCACCGACAGCAGACTGAAGACGACTGCGGCGAGGACGGGGACAGCAAGGCTTCGTTAACGCCATAGAACCCATTCGTGTTGTGGTTCATGTCCAATTGGAAGGCCAGAGCAGGCAGAAGGCTGAGAGGACATTATCAGTGGACATATCGTGGACACCAGCTTCTTCGTCCTCCGGCGGGCTTTGTTTGCTTTACAAAATACACCCGCACGGCTGAGGCCAAGGTGTGGTATGCCCAACCATCTGTGATGTTGCTCCAATAGTAGGGAAGCCTGCGACGGACGTCGTGATACATGCCCCGTCCAGGGTGGAAAATGCGATGGCTTCGCCAACCGCGTAGTTTCTCATCCCAATTGTAGACGTCATCAGCGACATTGAGCTCCATCTGAAGGGGAATGCTGTGAAGGGCGAGTTCCGGAGTTCACAGGTACCTAAAATGACTAGAAACATCGCATTATCCCAGAGAAGGTTGGAAAGCGGTCTCGCATATTGAGGTTTGACTCCCCTACTCCTAAGTCGAGGGCCGGAGCAGCGACGAGAGATCTTGACTGGGCTCTCCATTTGGCACTTATAGGGAATATATACGGATATAAAAGACGATGACTTGGGCCCAGATGGAGCAACGCAAAACAAGGGTCTTAGGACCATGGAGCAAGAGTGTTGGGCATGGACATCTAGTGAGAGGCAGACGCCATGACGATTCGCGATCCGGACAAACGTTGGTGCATCTGATGCTGATCCCACAGTCGACGTGTGAAATCAGGGACACAAGTAACGTTGTCCCGTTTATCCAGGGGCATCTACCTCGCTATATCAAATCGTCGCAATCGTCTCAATCAGTCATTGGCGCTCTGGAGTCTATCACGGACGATGACAGTGTAACAAGCATGTCCCGGAGTGACCAGCAAAAAAGGGTACTGGGGAATAAAAGGATCGTACCGATCCCCGAGGCCCGTGGCTGTGTGCTGCGGTGCCAAACTACTCACTCAATGAGAGATTTCCATTGGGGAAATTTGTGAACGAGAGGCGGATTTTTCTTCGGTAGAGCATATTACAAGGGATGGAAGAGCCCGTGACTTGACGAAACAGCGGTGGAGGAGGGATCAGCCGAAGAATAGCTGGGAGCTCTGAGAATACGGACTAACAAGTAGACGGAAAGTCGAGCTGCCAACCAACTTCTCCGAGGAGTTGTAGGTGGCTGTGGGTGGTGTGAGCCAGAGAGACTCTTCGTTCCCGGCCAAGGCTCGTCGTCGTGGATGGAGCAGAGAGGGGCAAATAATACCGAGTACGGCCCTGGCCAATCCATCAGGACAAGGAATCGCCCGGCCTTTTCTCGCCCGGATATGTCACTCCTTTGGCGCAGACCACGCGCCCATCACTCGTGGCGTGACTGTCACCTTCCCCCTCAGTGCCTGGGCCGTCTTTGGCTTGGCCTTGTTATCACATACCGTACGTTGGAGCAAATAACAGGGAAACCGCGCGTCCACGTCGTCTGGACGGATCGGCCGCATCACCCAATGCTCAGGCTCATGCTGATGCTCATGCTGATGCTCATGCTGATGCTCATGATGACCCTCCATGGATCGCCAGCCTGTCGCCTGTTGGCGTTGCGGCTTGTGATGGATCTCTTTGTCATGAATGTCGCTCGGGTTTCGCCGTTCCAGCCTTGACGAGGCTTTACAAACGGGGAAACAATGTAACACTGTGGGTTTGTGGTATCACTTTCGGCCAGGAGTATAAGATAGGCTTCTTCCTTCCCCCCTTTGAGGCCTTTTACTTCACCATACCATAGACAAAGCAATCCAGAACACAGACATCAACGCCATCAAGGCATCTCACCAAGATCTGACCGAGCTAACAGTCCAACACCAATACAATCATCTATTTATGGGATCATCAGATATCTCAAGTCTTAGCTCCAAAACCAGCAGATCATCAATGAATATGGAGACCATGCATGGATACGGCGACTCGTGGTTCGAGAACCTCAACACCCAAAGAATGCAGTACGAGCAACAACATCAACCACACAACTACGGCGACTCGTGGTTCGAGAACCTCAATAACCAGAGAGTGCAGTACGAGCAACAACACCAACCACACAACTACGGGGCAGCTTGGTTCGACGGTTTCGAGCAAATGTGGGAACAATGGCAAGACTCCAAGAACGGGGGACACGCCTGAGGGAGAGATAGAAGAGAGGACCGACGAGATCAGATCATATCAGATTGGCTATCGAACGCACAACAATACTGTTCACCTGATGCGTTACAAGCGAGCGAAACTACCGATTGGACGGATTAGGTGACCCACTGGGGATAATTCATTGAGATTTGGAGTTGGGATAGGGCGTCAGGGAGTTCACGACACAATGAGGCACATGGGCATGTGTCGCTTACATGTACGAATTATTGACACAAGCGCTGAAGTCTATCAGCTTTTTTTTTTTGGAAAGTGTTTTGAAGACTCAAGAAAAGAATTATGCACGAGACAGAGGATACAAGATACAACACACAAGCTGCAAGGCAGAAGAATCTAACCCAAGTGGTATAATATCGACAGCCACGCAAGGACAAGGGACAGAGAGAGAGGGGATAGGTCCCGATCTACACTCAGAGACAATTATAATGGTAATACATACAAACATACACATATTCATCCTGACTACACGAATGCTGTCTTTGATCACTTCCGTAGAAAGAAGAGAATCTACGTAGTTATTCCATCAAGTGTCCATCCAGGTAAACCGTCACATCTTTACGTAAATGTACTTTTCTATAAATACATATATCATAATATACGTTTGGGGTTTCTAGGTATATACGTGCCCATGCGGGAGTCATTCCAAACAACGAAAAAGAAAAAGGGACCTCGCTAAAGGCAACTGACTGTACGAGTCCCACCGTTGCCCCTCCTATCTTGCTGCATGGCGTTTGTGTTTGTTGTTCTCGAACCCTTCAAGTGATTCGAGGATGCCGGGTTGGCATGGCAGATTTTTCGAAATCTTTCCTCGGGTGGGAGTGGAGAGTGTACTGGGCTTCACTAGCCTTTACAAGTTCATGCTGATATACGACGAGGGTGGCGGCGACGACGAAGACTTACAAGAAGAATCAACCAAAGGAACGCGTTAGTATCACGGTATTCCCCAAAACGCCCAAATGAGTCCATTTCATACGTATCCTTCGTGTCTGGCCTGAACAACATAACATACTAAAACGTCCAGTCTGTTTCTCCTGGGGGTGTTTTCGCCATTAAAATAAACCCAAATCCAACAAAAACTACCCAGAAGGAAAACAGGCGCCGTCACCATGCATGACATCAATTTTTCCTCGTCGTACTGAGATTAGCCCGGCCAACCCATCGTATATCCCCCACTTGCCGCCGACCCTCTGTCCCTCGTTCAGTGCACTCAACTGTCGAAGAACAAGGCAGCAGTGAGCATTTCTTCCAACGCCGTTTTACGAGGCTTTCGATGCCTCTGCCAGTCGTCACTGTCCCGTCCGACGTGGATATCCTGAGTCCGTACTCTCTTCCTCCCAAGATCCCCAGACGACGATCGCGTATGATTGGCGGTCACCGGCACCGGGGGACTTTTCGGCCTCTCCTCCTGGAAGCCGGAGGATATCACACTTCCGGATTCGGAGGTCTGCATCGAGCTTGTCCCACTGCTCGAGGCATAGCCATGGTCGGCAGCCATTTCTGACGACGGATTTTGCTCAGGGATTGTGCCATGCGATGGGGTGATTGGAGTGATAGGAGCGTCACCAGTCGTTTCTGGGAAATGTGTCGATTTTTGGCTAGATAAATGGTGTTTGTTCTCCTTCTGTAGGCGGAGTTGGTCTCGAATGCGACGCATGGCGTTCATGTGCTTGCGGAAGCCTGTTTCGATCCCGTCCAGATTCAATGTCTCGGCAGGGTGGCCGAGATTGGTGTGATGCTCAGGCCTCTGGTGTGTGGGCCAGAGCGTGGGATATCCATCCTGCGACCTGGGCCTTGCGGAATCACCCCGCAGCGGCGACGTGGTGTTTTCTTTGAGGTTGTCGTTGGCGACGGCGAACGTGACAGTCTCAATCGATTTTGCGGCTCTGCCGGGGTCTTGCGGTACGGCAATCGACCTGTCTTGATCCCACTTCTGAAGGACATTTCTCGTGACTTCGGAGAGGACTCTATACTCTTCAGTTTCGCTAACAGCTCTGGCTCGAGCGAGCTCCGCATGTGTCAGGCTGGAAAGAAACACATTGAGACTCTCAACCAGCATGGATAATTTCCTCCTGAAGTCCTGGACGGTGAGACCTTCGTAATTCATATCTGTGTTTGTGAGCCATTGCTTCACGGCTGCGCGGTCCCTGGTTGAGCTGGAAAGGTACAACTTCACCAGGTTGTACAAAGGTCGTAGGGCAGCGTTCAAGGAGGTTAGAATCTTCGAGAACGTCAATGCCCAGCGTTTGTGATCCGGTTGTCGATCTATGAGTACTGATGTGCTCCCGACGCTGTGTAGGGAGTCGAGGCTGATGGCAATGGTCCACACTTCAAATCGGAGGTTTTCAAAGTCTTCGGACGCCTTCTGCATGCCATAAAAGGTGTGCCATGCCAATTTGCACGCTTCGGCCAAGGAGGTAGGAGACTGGCTCCCGCTGAAACCGATCGAGCGCGACATTGATGATAGTGGACGATAAAAAGGATTAAATCTGATAAATCCCGTTGGCTTTTGAGCAGGTTTTCAAGAGCCCGGAGTGAACAATAAGGCAAAGTGCGATGAACACGGCCGGCATTCTTGCCTCGCATAATAAGCCTTGCGATGCGGTGGTCTTAGCCACAGCGTGACTGGACACTCCTCGCCTCCCCGCAATGGACGGGCTTGCTTGTGAGAAAAGCCAGGAAGGCCATTTGGTGTGAAAATGTCTCGAACTGTTGCGCCACATGTGGCCTGACAGTGCGCCGAATTACGCTCACCACCACCCGCCCTGGCTCCTTACATTTGCCCGGATGAGATTTCCGCAGATCAGTCAGTACGGAGGCTGTCTGGCCGATCGTAATGCGGTTTGGATCGATCCTATTGTCGCTTAACGGCATGTGGGTTGTGCTGTTCGATTCAGTATATACATTGCTAGAGAGCAGAGCAAGACCGAACAGCTCCAAAGCCCGGGCCTGGGCATGGGCCTCGACCAGGGCTCTCAGAAACATTATGGAGACATATTGTCCTAACAGTCTTTGACCTCACCTGGTGTCAAACTCTCATTTGGTCTCTGATGCCAGTTGAAAGGGGCACTGTGACAAAGACCAGCCTGGGCGGCTGAAGAGATGCCGTACCCGTTTGAAGAATTTGGAAATGTCAAGGGGCGGCCCAACCCTAGCTAGCCAGACGAAAAGACAGGGGCCAAGAATCTTCTAAGGACCTTTAGGCATGCTGACGCCAAGCTGTCCAGGGGGATGGGCAGCAATCTAACGCTTAAACGGCTTAAATGGGAGAGCTTACCAAGACATGGATCGCAGCCTGGTCGCCCTTGAAACTCCCCAGAAGAAGTTTATCGTGAATCTCAGATCAACTTCGGTGGAAATACCAGCCTTGCCGAATGGTATCCAACAGATATCGACTGCTCCGAGAGCCTTGTGGCTGCTGGTGGGAAAATCTCCATTACCATTGCGGTGGTTGGCAGCTTCACTCCTCACTCAAGAGCCCTGCAGAACGATCACCCAACCCGGAATTGACTTGCTGCTGCTCCAAATCGTCCAGCTCAAGGGTCCACAATAGAGGTGCCGTGTAGATAGCCAGCTGTCCTCTTCCCTGGAGTCAAACAACAAGCAGCCTCGTCGCCATCGCGGGTTGCAATCGGCGCCTTTGGGTCGCGTTCGAATGGTAGCAATGGTGGGAAGGTACTCGGTAGGTTGAAGCAATCCCCGTGGAAACGATCTGCGTGAGCAAATCCTCCGAAGTCTGGACTCTGGAGTCTGGAGTCTGGAGATGTCCGATACACCTGATCTCGCAGCGAGGTGGCCTGCCATCCCTGTGGCTTGCTGTGACTGATACCGACTCCGAACCGCCAATGGCCGAGTGAGGCTAGTAATATTGGCTTAGTCCTTGGTCAGTCCTAGTCAGTTCTGAACCCAGACCCGTCACACCACCACCCGTCACGCCACGACTCCTCAGTTGCTACCTCGCGACAATGCGCCCCGCGGGCAGTAGTCTGACATGTCGTTGCTCGGGGCTGCATTATGTTAGCACGGCCACGTACTCCGAACTGTGTGCGTGTTGTGCAAAACCATTGTCTTGATTTCGGACATATTGCGACTCATCTGATTGGTATCCCCGCCTTTACCGTGGGATGATATTGTCAATGGAAAATCATATCATACGAATGCAGCATTGGAGCTTCAAAGAAGAGAAATACTTAATGACTGGCCCCTGCCGGCTTTTAGATTCCCATTGCCACCAAGTCTGTGAGCGTTCTTGAGCATCAGCCTTTGCATTACTGCCAGCGTTTGTTGTCTTATAGCTGTAGCAACTTACCTCAACACTACAATGGATTACTCAAAGAGCCGCTATTCCTTCCAAAACACATCGTCGATCCGGTCTTCGTCATGCTCTGTCTCCCAATCGCGGCGACTAGCATATGAAATAGGCACCAAGGCCAGGTCAAAGATTCAGAAAGAAGCGGCCAAGACTGTCCCTCAGCTTCATAGACTCGTCTGCCATGCGGCAGTGTATGACAATGCCACGAAATTCATCCTCGATCACATGCATGACTACAGTCCCGAAATCGATCACTCTGAGTCGGCGACAATCGAAGAAGTAGAAGACGTGGAAGCAGACGTTTCTCTATATGACATTGTCGACATTGTGCCCGAGGATGAACGCGATCCCGAGCCATCACACACGTCGCTGGAACTCACTCACAATGCATCTTTCAATGGCTACGCACAGCTCAAATCACCCCGGCTCTGTGGTGTCGTGGTGACCACCACTCTGGTGGGCGCACGAGACAGCCACTGGGAAGAAACAGAGAGCGACTCCAGCACCGAATCCGACGAGGACTACGACTATGACAACGAGTATGACTACAACGGCTATGACGGCTACATGGAGTCAGGCTACACATACGGCCAGTATGAGAGACGATCAGACTTGCACTACGCACGCAGCTGCTCAAAACCCTTCGCCGACTCGACACCTACATACAACCACA